ACTTCCGAACTGTTATGTTGTGGAAGGAAAATATTTTGATTGAAGATTAACGTCACACTTCATCACTGTTATTTGCCATTAAAAACGGATTAAATCTGGAGCTTTACCTTCGGCTAACGTTGCAAATCCTCATCAAACACGGATTATGGTAATTGCGCCGCCCTTTTGTTAACTTACTGCATGAAACAGTCGGTTATGAAGACTGGGGAAGGCTTTAAAATAACGTAGCGAGACTCACCTGGGTTGGTGTTAGATGTATTAGGGAAGCTAAATGTTCCCGTTCGGGAGCCGAAAGGTACTTTTGCTGCTTAAAGCGCCGCTCCAACTCGTAAACCTGGAAGAAATAAAAATCTATGTTGTACCTACCTACTGTGTATTGTATTTTGGTATTAAAAAAATCAGTTAAATGGTGCAGATTGAAAAGTGTCACAGTTTTCTCGGTATTAAACGTTAAACATTTTCTTTGGCGACAGATCAGAATTTTCAATTCTACCGAATCCAATGAATTTTCCAACTTAAAGTAAGTTTTTCCAGGAAAATATTCGAAATTCTGGGCTTTCAACTGTTTGGATTTGCGAGTAGTGAATTTTATAAGCCGGGCGTGCACGTTTGAGGCCCCTTTTTATGTACCTAACAAGAAGTTCGAAAAAAAATTTCAACTCGTCGATCGGTCAGATTGTAATGTAATTTTCTGCACATAACAAACGAGGATTTTGCTCGAAATACCCCGAATTGCACGATTGAGGCGTATTTTCAAGTAAGTGTTTGAAAAAAATTTTGAAATCGACGGATGCTCTGGTTTTAATGCAATTCAAAGTTTGAAAAATTGTAGAAATTTAATAAAACCTTCCAATCTAATGCGACTTTGTTGACTAAGCAAACGAAACTCGGCCTTTGCGGTGTCCAAAGCGGCAGCCTTGGATCTTCGCACTTTCGCAAGTTACGAATTTTTTGGACAAAAAAATTGATACAAGATAATAATCAATTAATTAACCAGTGACAAATATTCTTCTTAAAATATTTTTTTAAACCTCATGCTTCCGTTGCCGGATCCATGAATATTTAACATATTTGTTTCCTATTGGCGCAAGTAAATAAAAAAATGTAAAAGTGGACGACACGTTTTTGACCTCCGATTCGTTTCGCAAGGCCAACTAACACACGTTATGCATTACATCAACATCCAAGTTGACAATCTCAATGATGGAGGAATTGTTGATTCAAAACATCTGGAAGTCAACACTGTTCAGGCATCTAATTAATGTTTAATGTGGTGAAAAAAAAGTAAACATTGCCTTGGGCGGTTGACAAAAGAAGTCAGCTGAAGAGAGTGAAAACTGATGGCTCAAATAAGGCGTAAAATTAATTCATTAATGACAATAAGTAATGATCTTCTGTTTCCGTATGATTTTCTTATTAATGGCAGGTTTTTGCAATTTTTCAAACGCGTTCGTTTTCATTAGGTATCTAAAAGGCTCCAGCAGATAGTCTCTACCCAACTCGAATTTATTTTCGCATAGTATGATCAATATCAATCAAATTTCAAAGATTCAGTTTTTCGCTACGTCGTTCTCACAATAGAAGAGATTAATGCGCGATTTTTGGCCTCAACATGATGAAGAGTCTTACTGAAATGTTCGGTAAGTTTGGGCTCAATCGGGCCACTAACAGATTTTCAAATTCAGTCTTTCTTGCCTCAGCCGGAATTCCAAAAAATGTCCAAAAGATAGAAGAGCAATTGCTTGCGCAAAAGTTATGATAGTGTTAAGGCCGATTTTCAATGAATTCCCAGTGAATTTAAAGTCGAAAAACCGCATTTTTGCAGTGAAAGCTTCCCTTTTAACTCTCGAAACGCAGAAATGCATGCAGAAAATGGATGCAAAAGGTGAAATTGGACAGAGGAAGAAAGAGCAATTGTCTCAGTTTCAAAGAAAATTTCAAATTTCAAAATTAGAGAAAAATTAACGGCACAGAAGAAATAACAAAAAATGCACATTAACTTGCAAAAGCAAACTGTAGGTAACGGAAGTAAAACTAGGAAATTGCGACTGAAATAATAGAAAAACTTGTTACAATTGAGAACATTGAGACGCAGAATCTTGAGCAGAAGAATGTTTTTGAATGCAAAATGACATCGTCAACTCGCAGAGAAAAACATTAGATTTTGAGAAGCAAGCCCCGAAAGGCCTTGAAAAAACATTTGACAATTTCTCTGGTAATACGTAGGTAACTCGAAACACCTTAGAACTTAGAAAAGGGTTTGAAACAGAAAATTTTTGGACTTTGCAAAAAAACCCTCTCGCCCACTAGTGCAAAAGCATCTTTCGTAAGCGACGGGTGAAGAACACAGAACTTACAATGTAAAACCAATCAAGAGTGCAGATCCAGTCTTCGCCACAATCTTCAATTCCAAACCCAACCAACTTTTGGCAAAAAGGAATTTTTTATTGGAAAACACCAACCAGTTTAATTGCTGTCAAAATGCCATTTCAACTCTTCTGAACAGTCACTTGATAATCGAAAAATGGAAAAAAGCGCGTCGCGATGTCCGGCAGCGGCAATCGACGTTTACCGTCGGCATCCGGCAAACTTTCGTTTGTTACGTGACCATCAGGGCCGTAACTAGGCAACGGGTAGGGGGGGCAAGGGGATTTACAAGTGAGTCACTGGTAGAAAGTGGGCGTCGCCCTCTGAATAAGAGCCTACCTGGGCTTGCGTGAAGAGGACCCGCCTCTTGCGGCGTTGCGCCAATGGGAATTGCATGGGCTTCGAGTCGGGCACGCCCCCGCACGGACCCAAACCGGGCATGCCGGCGGCATTCAAACCATGGCCCATGTTGGCCGACGCCGCTGTTGTTCCCATCAATCTGGAAACTGCAAGAAAATACCATCAGAATCATCCATAACTGCCACAAAGCAATCAAATCGGGCGCCAGTTACGTCATTTGGACGTTCCCAGCACCAAAGTGACGTTGATTGGACGTTAATAGACGTCGCTTTTTTAGGGTTGGTGTTTGTCTGTTGCTTACCAACTTCAGTGCAATTTTTTAATCTTCTGTTTATCCTGAGCCATTCGCGAGCGAGATTTTCATTTTTTATAACCAGTCGCATTTTCCGCCCGAAATTTATTTAAACCTTTTGGAAATTTAAATTTGGAAAATTATGGAAAATGAGTGGACGGTATGGAGACTCAGAGGGTCTCATATAATTTTGCACATTTAACACTTGAAGCTTGATCTCAACATTTCCAAAATTGCAGTTTTTCATCTGCTCGAACTGACGAGTTGTAATTTTTTAAACACACTCGCGTAAGTTTGCGTCTTCTAAGTAACAAGAGTTTGAAAAATTCTGGAAAGTGAATGAGCGGCAGGAATCTACTAAAACTTTCACCACTCAACAAGTTTGCGTCAGTCTTCTAAGTAACAAGAGTTTGAAAAATTCTGGAAAGTGAATGAGCGGCATGAATCTACTAAAACTTTCTCCACTCAACAAAAGAGGATTTTTCTCAAAATGGCAAAAATTGTTGGGATTTGCGAGTTGTGAATTTTTAAACAGAAGCGTGCATGTTTGTAGCGCATTTCTGAGTAACAGAAAATTTGGAAAATTATGCAAAACAAGTGGACCCTCTGAGTCTCATATAATTTTGCACATTTAACAATTGAAGCTTGATCTCAACATTTCCAAAATTGCAGTTTTTCATCTGCTTGAACTGACGAGTTGTAATTTTTTAAACACACACGCGTAAGTTTGCGTCAGTCTTCTAAGTAGCAAGAGTTTGAAAAATTCTGGAAAATTAATGAGCCGCATGAATCTACTAAAACTTTCAGCACTCAACAAATGAGGATTTTTCTCAAAAAAGCGAAAATTGTAGCAATTTGTCTGTTGGGATTTGCGAGTTGTGAATTTTTAAACAGAAGCGTGCATGTTTGTAGCGCATTTCTGAGTAACAGAAAACTTGGAAAATTATGCAAAACGAGTGGACCCTCTGAGTCTCATATAATTTTGCACATTTAACAATTGAAGCTTGATCTCAACATTTCCAAAATTACAGATTTTCATCTGCTTGAACTGTCGAGTTGTATTTTTTCAAACACACACGCGTAATTTTGCGTCAGTCTTCTAAGTAACAAGAGTTTGAAAAATCCTGGAAAATGAATGGGCCGCATGAATCTACTAAAACTTTCAGCACTCAACAAATGAGGATTTTTCTGAAAATGGCCAAAATTGTAGCATCTTGTCTGTTGGGATTTGCTAGTTGTGAATTTTTAAACAGAGACGTGCATGTTTATATCGCATTTCTGAGTAACAAAAAATTTGAAAAATTATGGAAAACAAGTGGACTCTCTGAGTCTCATATAATTTTGCACATTTAACAATTGAAGCTTGATCTCAACATTTCCAAAATTACAGTTTTTCATCTGCTTGAACTGACGAGTTGTAATTTTTTAAACACACACGGGTAAGTTTGCGTCAGTCTTCTAAGTAACAAGAGTTTGAAGAATTCTGGAAAATGAATGAGCGGCATGAATCTACTAAAACTTTCAGCACTCAACAAATGAGGATTTTTCTGAAAATGGCCAAAATTGCAGCAATTTCTCTGTTCAGATTTGCGAGTTGTGAATTTTTAAACATAAGTGTGCATGTTTGTGGCGCATTTCTGAGTAACAGAAAACTTGGAAAATTATGCAAAACGAGTGGACCCTCTGAGTCTCATATAATTTTGTACGTTTAACAATTGAAGCTTGATCTCGACATTTTCAAAATTGCAGTTTTTCATCTGCTTGAACTGACGAGTTGTAATTTTTCAAACACACACGCGTAAGTTTGCGTCAGTCTTCTAAGTAGCAAGAGTTTGAAAAATTCTGGAAAATTAATGAGCCGCATGAATCTACTAAAACTTT